TTTGGACTTGTCCAACTCGCGAGTGCTGGAGGGCAGAGGGCCTCGGGCTCCCATACACCTTCCACACAGACCGAGCATCTGAGCCGATTCGGACTGACTGACGAATCTCAAGACAATGGTCTTCAGGAGAGGTGCCGTCGAGGCTTCTTCTTCCAGAGATTAAGTTTAAAATATACAAACATGGGGCGTAAGACGAGAGCATTTTTCACATACCTTGGCCGTTTAAATCCATAACTAGGCTGCTGAAGAGGAGAAGGGTAGAGATTTGCGAGAGCATGCTTCCGTAGCCCACAAAAGGCAGCAATGCGATGCAGTGAAATGTGAGTTATGGACTTTAGCGTTTGTTTTGGGCAACCAGGACGCCGGTGAGGTGGGTTGGCCCCCACCTTCCTCGAGAAGAGGACGAGTCGACAGGTCTCATAGGCATCATCTGACCAAGACAGCAGTCGGGGATGCCGAAGTCAGCAAAATGAATCGTCTTCTGAGACGTACTATGCGCAGCTTTCATCCGAGACATGCAGACTGGACCAGATCGGTTCGGATCAGATCGGATCGTCGATCGATTTGAGGGTTGCCATGCCCTGCTGATCGGCTCAAAGAGCCAAAAGTCTGCAGGCTGCAGCCCCCCATTATGGTCTGCTTCTCGACCCGATTAGACACAAGAAAAAGCCGTGGAACAGAGAAGGGACACTTTATCACATCGCGCCAAGACGACAGGTTCAAGAGGATTCAGGCAGAGAGTGGTTGAAAGGTGAGTGCAACTAGACGGCTCTACAGAAAAGGGCTGACTCGTCGACAAGCCGCATTGTGTGCACAGCCGGTATCGTCAGTTGAGCCAGCATCCGACACGTTTCGCTTTGTTGCGTCTGTTGGTCACCAACCAATTAGGGTTGTGCTCCAATTCATTTGTGCACTGGACGTGGCAGCCAGACGGGCCCTAGCTTCGATTAATTTCACTTTTAGATAAAAACAAAGACAAGTTGATTCACTAGACAGCTCTTGCCTTACAATTGCCGGAGATCACACAAAATAGCACACCAACTTAACCAGATATGCGTAAGGCATTAGGCAATAGGAAGGAAAACAAAAATAAAAGATCCCTAGATCTCGATGTCCTATGATAGATGATATACTCACTTTTTGGCTTCTAATATCTATGCACATATGAAAGCATACATGTGCATACAGGCATACTCACACACATGCCTCTAGGTTGGCAATTAGAATGACATCTGCCTCAAAAAATTCCATAGGATTGAAATGATATATTAATAATAGTTTTGAAGCGTTTCGAAGTATGATCAACTCTAAAACTTGTATTTGTCACAACAACCGAATATACTACTTACATTCAGTATGAGTAGGCAGAGTACAAGTTACCAGTCCTACACAGAATTCAAGCTGCAATTGCCGTATATATACTCTAAGTGAGATATAACTTATATCTACTGCCAATCGAGAAAATTGTCTTACCTAAATTCTTGTTCAACCACTCACTTACTTGCGCCATCAAGAGTCCCTCCAGAAGAGTTTGACTTGTCTTCAAAATCACACCTGCCTCAGCACTTATGGAAGTCTGATGT